GGCTGCGATAAAGGGCAAACTGATCTGTTTGGAAGAATTATCCCCAGAGGGCTCCTTAAGAGGCATATGGACAGCAAGACTTGATCTCACTTGGTCTTAACTTAGACATGTCCTTTGGACACGGTACCAAGAAGGACAGATCCTGGAGAAGGGAGGGCAGCATCAAAGAGGAAGTCCTTCCAGGAGATGGACTGACAAAGTGTCTGCAACACTGGGGTCAAGCAAGGGAACAATTGTGAGGATGGGTCAGAACCAAAGCCGACTAGATGGCACCTAACAATACAAGGAAATCAAGGGTGTGGCTTGGGTCATGCCTTTCAGTAAATTCAGATCTTAATCCCCTCCTAATCCTGTCCATGAGTAGAGAATAGCCTTCAAAATGAGATTATAGCAACAAGCACAGAGTTCAGAATGATAAAATATCACATGAAGCATTATGGTTAGAAGGGCCATATTGATTGACTACAACTCAACTTTATCTAATATTTGAAAATCACACCAACAGTTCAAATGAACACTTTGAGACATAATGCAATAAGGAATCTGCTTCGTCTTGTCAATCCAGCATTTACCACACTTATTTAAGCATGAAACAACACAATTTTTTTTCAGAAACATCACATCATTTAGCTTGTTGTAGTGAGAGCGTTCTTCAGAAACTGCTTTGAGAAACATTGAGAAAGTAGAAATGTTGGTGTGAGGTCACTTTCTGGAAAGGAAGGGATTCTTAAATGATAAAGAGTCACGTTAAGGAGACGGCCCAACCAACCCAACCTGGGTCTCACTGAGTAGGCTGAGGTAGAAAGGAATGCTGTGTTCACAGGGACTGGAGTGCCTTCAAGCCACATAATTCATGTCTAGAAGATTCCTTTCAGGCTGAAGCAACCAAGACAACTTTAGGTTAGTCAGGAGAGCAAGAATTAGAAAGAAAACTAGGATTAAGGCCAAAGGTGCAATGCTTTCTGTTGTGATTTTATTAATTGCTTAGACTGAGCAAGGCACTATTCATATAATAGCTTTTTTTTTTTTTTCATACAATAGCTTTAAGCCACTAAAACTCCTGCTAGACCGGTTTGATCTTGCCAGTGTGAGAGATGAGGACGCAGAGGTGATGAGAGGATGACATGATTCTTGTAAAAGGAAAGTTTAGCCTTAGCCCTTTCTTACTGCATCATGCCTCCTCAATCTGTGATTCTTCTTTGTTGAAGCAATGATTCTGTCTTGGATCTCTAAGCCACTGACTCCCCTCCCTCCGCCTGTGCAGGAGATGATTCTAGAATAAAGAAAGTGGTATTGCTTTCCTGATGACCCTGGTCCACTTCACCATACCATGTCTGATTTCTGCCTTGAACCAAATGATTGCACACCTCAGATCTGTCAGGACCTGTGATCACCTGAGCACAGGGTGGTATTTCAAAATTATTTTCCAAGGCTGTTTAACACATAAGAGCGAGTCTGAATAGAGTAAAACTCAAATTCTGCAAAAGCCAAGCAGGTAACATTCAAAAAGGGAAGCAGGTCACGTCTGAGACAAGAGGGTGTATTGGAGCCTGCGGACCTGGAAGTGTAGACTCGACCCAAAAGGTCTGCCCACTGGGTAGCTCTGGCAGATGGTTGTTTAGTCGAAATGTGAGCTTGGGCTCACGAAATCTTATTGTTCAAATGAAGCTGGAAACCCAGCTTTTAAATGCCAACAACTTATTTCTTAAAAGCACTCAAGCTAAAACCAATCCACTGCCTTGGGGCCAGTTCTGAGTCACACTGACCCTACAGGATAGGTAGAGTTGAGTTGCTCCATAGGGCTCTTCAGACGGTACATCCTTACAGATGTCGCCTCTCTCCTATAGATAGCTTGGAGGGTTCCAATACTGACTTTGGGCTTGCAGCTGAGCGCTTGACCACCACTCTACCTGGACTCCTAAACAACAACAACAAACACATCACATCGGACAAAGAAAAAAACAAGAAAAAAGGTGAGTCGGGCTAAAGCCACCATCGACTCGTAAGCCCAGAGCACATGACTTTTTAAGAATTATACCAATTGCTACTAAAAACAGTGTTTCACTACCACTTTCCTCCTGCCCCAACTCTTTATCCCCTTCATTCAATAGACTTGGCTTCAATTATTTATTTTATTTTTTAAATCATTTTATCGGGGGCTCGTACAACTCTTATCACAATCCATACATCCATCCATTGTGTCAAGCACAGTTCTACATTTGTTGCCCTCATTATTCTCAAAACATTTGCTCTCTACTTGAGCCCTTGGTATTAGCTCCTCATTTTTCCCCTCCCTCCCCACTCTCCCCTTCCTCATAACCCTTGACAATTTATAAATTATTATTATTTTGTCATATCTTACACTGTCTAACGGTCTCCCTTCACCCACTTTTCTGTTGTCCATCCCCCAGGGAGGAGGTTATATGTAGATTCTTGTAACCACTTCCCCCTCTCTACCCAACCCTCCCTCCACCCTCCCGCTATTGCCACTCTCACCACTGGTCCTGAAGGGATCATCTGTCCTGGATTCCCTGTGTTTCCAGTTCCTATCTGTACCAGTGTACATCCTCTGGTCTAGCCGGATCTGTAAGGTAGAATTGGGGTCATGATAGTGGCAGGGAGGGAGGGGGGGGAGGGAGTGAGGAAGCATTCAAGAACTAGAAGAAAGTTGTATGTTTCATCGTTGCTATACTGTACCCTGACTGGCTTGTCTCGTCCCCACAACCCTTCTGTAAGGGATGTCCAGTTGCCAACAGATGGGTCTTGGGTTCCCAATCTGCACTCCCCATCATTCACAATGATATGATTTTTTTATTCTTTGATGCCTGATACCTGATCCCTTCAACACCTCGTGATCACACAGTCTGGTGTGCTTCTTCCATGTGGGCTTTGTTGTTTCTCAGCTAGATGGCTGCTTGTTTATCTTCAAGCCTCCAAGACCCCAGACACTATATCTTTTGATAGCCAGGCACCATCAGCTTTCTTCACAACATTTGTTTATGCACCCATTTTTTCTTCAGCAGTTGTGTTGGGAAGATGAGCATCATGGAATGCCAGGTTAATAGACCAAAGTGTTCTTGCATTGAGGGAGTACTTGACTGGTGGCCCAATGTCCATCTGCTACCTCATTACTAAACTTATAAATATATGCACAAAGATCTATCATCATCATATATAAATATATTTACATATGTACATGCCTGTATTTAGACCTCTATAAATTACCTTTGCCTCCTATTCCTTTCCTCTATTTTCTTTGAATTTCCTCTTGTCTCACTATCATGTTCAGCTTTCATTTGGGTTTCAGTAATTCCTCTTGGTTACATTGCCCTTGATCAATCCCTACCAGGCCTCTTACACCCTCCTTGCCACTGGTTTTGGATCACTTGTTCCCTTGTCCCTGGGTTGGTTAACACCACTTCGTTTCCCCCTACCTCCCCCTCTCCCATCTCCCTCCCCATCCCACCCCAACCATCAGTCCCATTGTTTTCTCCTCCAGCTTATCTTATCTAGATAGTCCTGCAGAGATAATAATATGCACACAAAATAGGGCAGAGCAAAACAAATCGACAAAAGAAAACAAAACAATGACAACAACAACAAAAAACAATGGCAAAAAAAAAAAAGAAAAGCCTGTAAATAGTTCAAGATCTGTTTGTTGATCTTTAGGAGTGTTTTCTGGTGGAGTCTGATGGGGTGCCACACCCTGGCCCCAAAGTCTATTTTTGGTATTCCTTCGGGACTTCCTGGCTCTGCTCTCCTTGCTGTTCTCTTGCACACCCTGATTGTTTTGCTTCGGTGTGGTGGGGGCTCCAATTATCAAATACACACACACACATTCAAAAGGTTGGAGTGAACCTTTTGCAGGTTGTTTGGAGTGAAGGGGTGAAAGAGAACTCTGAATTTTCTATATGATATCTGAAAAATAAATCTAAAGTTGCTCTTAAACATACCAGTATTTTTCAAAGCACATTATAAGCCGATACAATCATCCGAGAAGGAGAAAGAGCTGGTGACCGGCTTGGTGAAGATTACAGCCGAGGAAACCATAGAGCAGTGATTCTCAACCTGTGGGTCACAACCCGTTTGGGGTGTCGAATGACCTCTTCACAGGGGTCGCCTAATACATCCTGCATATCAGATATTTACATTATGATTCATAACAGAGCAAAATGACAGTTTTGAAGTAGCAACAAAAATAATTTTATGGTTGGGGGGTCACCACACCATGAAGGACTGTATTAAAGGGTTGCGTGAGGCATTAGGAAGGTTGAGAACCACTGCTCTAAAGGCACTTACAAACCTGCATTCCATTGTGATGTTCAAACAAATGACCTCAGGCCAGACTGAGGCGGGTTGGAGGGTGGGGGCAATGCCCTCGGGCAAAGTGTTGTGGGGACAGTTCTGCTTAACTGAGGTGCTGGGAGCCTGTCTATTTCAAGAGCAGCGGTACTGCATCACCTGGAGTGGCTGAGTCAACATCACTTGAAGGCACCCAATAAAAACATGAAAAGATTTTTTTTAATTAGATTTTTACTCTCTAGAAAAAAATAAAATTGCCAAGACTTACTTGCCGGTGTTGGGATCATTTTTAAAACTACAATGTCTTAAGTTGAGTATAAAAAAGGAGACACCACTCCCTCCATCCCCCTAATTTTTAGAAGGATTGCAGCAGGGTGGAGTAAGTGCATGTACCACCTGGTAGCAAGGACAACCAGGACATGCCTTCTCAGTGATGTGCCGGAGGGACTTTAAATGGCCTTCAGTACTGCTCCAGCCTCAAGGACTTCCATGTCCTCCTCTTCAAACAGGCCTAGCCAAGGACTAGGGTCGGGGTATTCCTCCTGTGACAGTCTCTTGTCACCAGGGGTGCTTGCCAGAGAGGTGAGTAATGCTACCTGACACCTGTATTATTCAAAGCTTGGCCTTCAGGTGTGGCCTGTGGTCTTTTAAGGTCAACAGCATCACTAAGTTTCCAGAGAAGAGCCAAGCAGAAGAAAATGGAAAGAGGTTGGCCCCATGAGAAAGGATTCCTCTTCAGCCTCATTCTCCACCTTGTGCTTCAAGGTAAGCTAGGATGAGAGCAAGAGCAAAAGCAACCTGTACATTCAGGCCAAGTTTTATTATTCCCAGACGGCCAGGGGCTGGATGTTTGTGCTGGTCAGAAACAGCACCATCAGTGTTGCACCTCTTCTGAGGGGCCTAACAATTAGTCCATTTTCTCTATCTGCATCTCTACTTTCCATATTTCTGTTGACCTCTTCTTCTCTCTCTCTCTCTCTCTCTCTCTCTCTCTCTCTGTCTCTCTCTCTTGGCACGTAGTTCTATCTCCATAGTTCCTGCATATCAACTGTTTATAAATAAGAAGAAAACCATTCTGCCTCGGCTTTCTTGAAGCCAAATGACATGAGCCAGAGAAGATGCTGAGGGGAAAGCGGCGGAGGAGAAGATCGACAGGGAAAGAGGGAAACGCTTCCGTTATGCTGTTTCCCACTTGTCGGTGTTTCTCTTGTGCACTGCAGAGGAGTCAGGAGGAACAGTCTGATGAAACGAAGACCCTGCCAGCAGATGCCAGCAGCTCCTTCTCGGTTTTGGCTCTAAGACTGGCTCAAGTCTGGGCAGGCGTTGGGTGCTAGCTGGGTCTTGAGGGACGCTCGCTTTAAAAGAGGAGGTCAGGGTGAGGACTGAGTTTTAAAAGAGCCCGGGCAGACCATGACTAAACATGCATGAAATCACAAAACCAAGCTTCTTCCTTGAGGGTCCCCATTTTTCACGCGACTTCCCGCCTCGCGGATTTATGATCACCTATGATGTCCGAATGCAGGGAGGAGGGTGCGATTGCTGAGCTTGTCGGTGACATGACCCAGATGGCTCAAGGACGTTGGTGAACAAGGGAAGGCCATTGAGTGGAGAGGGTTGTGGTGAGGTTGTCAAAGACATCGCAGGACGTGGTAAAGTGGTGGTCAGGGCTGAGTTTGCATTCACATTTGGACAAGTTTTGCATGGGGGCAGAGACAATGGACTCGAAGACCGAGCCCGGACTCAGCTCACCTCACCAACTTCCACCATTTGCCTACCAGACCAGTCCGTCCTCCCTGACCCAGAAGAGAGGGGCTCACGTGTTTCTCTAGGTGGCCACTGTGTACTTGCAGAAACACCCCCAGTCCCGCCACACACTCCTCACAGAGGCCCTGGTCCTCTCACAGGCTTTCTGCTCTCGACAGGAAGAGGGGACACCAGCATCAACTGCTCAGGGTTTGACCGGCATGGAGTGGACCCTGCTGCCTTCCAAGCCGTGTTTGCCAGAAAGGCCTTCCGCCCCGTCCTCAACTGCAGCAGCCCCACGCATGTCAACATCTCCTTCACCCTTTCTGCCATCCTAGAAGTGGTGAGTCCTGACCCCACAAGGCTCTAGGGGTGAGCAGTGGGCACCTGTGGGATTTCATAAAATACACGCTTCATCCTGTGGGATGGCAAGACACGAAGAGGAATGTTGCTGTGACACTTCTCTAGGTGAAATGTGCCCCTTTTGGAAAGACTCCACAAGAAACCCATTTCCAGTGGAAACCTCAGAGTGGGGTGTGTGTGTGTGTGTGTGTGTGTGTGTGTTCACTCACATTTTCCATACATCCTGGGTTGTTTTGTTTTTGTAGTGGTTTGTGATTGTGAACCTGAATTGTCCTATGGAATAGCCTTGGAAGTGAGTAAGAGAGGGAGCATGGCGTTAATGCTCTTGGATAGAAATTGTTTTTTGTGTTTGTTTTTTTCAGGATGCCCACCTTCAGCTGATGACCTCATTCCTGTGGCTAAATGTGGTATGGTGGGCTCGGTGTCCCCTTGACCTTATACTTTACTCTTCCACTCCTGGGCTCAGTTTTGCAGATGACATTGGCTAACGCTGAGAATGCCCACAGTTAGACCAGTCGAAACAGTTTCAGCCCGATGCTGAGAGCACAAGTGTCTAGATCATGCTGCTCGTTTCAGAAGGCAGAGATGAGACAGGGAAACTGTGGACAGACCAAGGTAAGGGAAGCCAGTATTTACGTGGCTCCTTCCCAAGGCATTCATAGCCAAGGGCTCCCTTGAAAACAAGAGAGAGAAGTTGAGGCACGTAAGCTCTTTGTTCGTGATCCTGTGACAGCCAGGACTAGCGAGGGCGTGGGAGAATAAAGAACTGTGGGTGGTTGTGGGGGGATACATGGGGGTAATGTGGAAAGTGCAGGAGATTGGACAAGATTCAAACAAGTTCCTTCCATCTGTTTATCCCACGCCCTGGTCTCCTGTAGATCTGGCACAATCCCTTCATGACGTGGAACCCAGAGGCGTGTGGGGGCATCAGGAAGCTTAGCATAGCCGCTGAGAACCTGTGGCTTCCAGACATCTTCATCGAAGAGTTGTGAGTATCAGGCCGTGAAAAGCAAGAAGGCCAGCCCCTCAGGGAAGGGCACGATGAAACCACTGGAGGCCACGCCAAGCCTCGACTTAGAAAAGAATACAATCTGACTTCACTCGCTTGCACAACTCCCACAATCCAGTGTTAAGTGGAAGCAGGAAGTCCTATGAGTAAAGGTGGCGTGCCAGAGCGTAGTGACCTGGGAGCAGAGAAAGGCCAAATCGGATGGGAAATGGCTCGGGCCTTCCTCCTCTTTCTTCTCACATACAGCATGGACGTGGATCAGACGCCTCCAGGCCTCATGGTGTATGTCACCAATGAAGGTCGAATCAAGTACGACAAGCCAATGCAGGTGATCAGCGTCTGCAAACTGGACATCTTCTATTTCCCTTTTGACCAACAGAACTGTACGCTTACCTTTGGGTCTTTTGTCTACACAGGTGAGTAAGGCTCCTTACACGCCTGTTGTTCACGTGTCAACTATCCAGTTATCCACCATTTCATATTTATGATGATAGTGAAAAAAGTCTACTATCCATCTCTTTTGTGCGTTAACAACGTAAGTCTGGCAATCATGAAAGCCGAAGTGTAAGACGAGAGTGACATTAGCTCTGACAGTTAAGGGTCTGGGTCAACTTGGCTGGGCGATGCTTCTCGGTGGGTGGCAGCCGTGTAGTGATGCCATTGGACAGTTAACCAATGATGTAGTCATTCTCCATTTTAGCAGAATGCCAGTTTTTGCATAATGACCTGGTTTGGGGCACCTGACCAGGTCGATAAGTGAGGAGTGGATATATGAGGAAAGGACAGAAAACGGAACCAGTGAGGGAATCGCACTTAAGGAATGTAGAGGCTTAAAACCAAACCACCTTCACTGCCGTCCAGGAGACTCGGACTCATAGTGACCCTAGCGGTCAGGGTAGAAGTGCCCTGAGACTGTCATTCTTTATGGGAGTAGCGAGCCATGCCTTTCTGTAGAGGAAACGTGGTGAGAAATCCAATAGTCTGGACCAGGGGGTGGGAAACCAGGAGAAGCTGAGTGGTCTTGGTCTCCTTTGCAGTGGAGAACATGGTCCTGGCCATGGAGAAGGACGTGCAGGAGATTTCAAACACATCGCTGAGCCTCATTCGGAGCCATGGGGAGTGGGTGCTTCTCAGTATCCACCAAAGAGCAAAGAAGATGGTTGTGGGCACCAACCAGTATGACCAGATCATTTTTCATGTGAGCTGCGGGGCCCCGGTTGTGGTCTTCTCCTAAGACTCATGGCTCAGGTCAACCGTTGGAAGTCAAACTCTTCCATCAGAAAGTCAGTTCCACAAAGAGCTGAGATTTTAGTCCCCACCGCCTTCTGGCTCATCTCCAGCACTTAGACTAGAACCTGGCAAATGGTTGGCACTCATTCAATCTTGTTGAATCAATCTTCCCTTGATGGAAGAAACCAAGATCGTATGTCCCTGGTTCACGGTGATGGTCAACCTCCTCAGGGCGATCAGATCTTTTAGTGGACAGGAACCGTAGCGGTTTTTGTTCTAAGATGGTGGAGGAAGTGATGAACTATTTGCCTTAAGGGTATGATGATTCCAAATCCTCCTGACTCCCAGATATCTGGCAGTGCCTTGCCTTGTTCCCCACCGAGCCAGCAGCAAAGTCACTAAAGATGAGATGGTGGTGAAGAAAGCAAGCTTTCTGCAGACAGTAGCGGCACGCAGTGGTGGTCGTCTGACTCTCAGGAGCACCAAAGTAAGGACAGAAAATGTAATTGCAGACCACTGGCACCACGGGCCAAGAAGGAATCAGATGCATTCTTCTATAAGGAGCATGGCTGAATCAAAGCTTCGGCGAGTAAGGTGCCTTAGGAGGGAGAGACAGGGAAAGGGAAGAGAGGTGGTGTCTCCTTGCTACACAATTGGGTCTGGTTCAAATCCCAATTCTTGCACTTACCTAGAGCAGGGGTCCTCAGACTTTTTAAACAGGGAGCCGGTTCACTGTCCCTCAGACCATTGGAGGGCTGGACTATTGTTTAAAAAAAAAAACTGTGAGCAAATTCCTATGCACACTGGATGAGTCGGCTGCTAAGCAGGACAGGCAGCGGTGGCAAAAACACCTGGCAGGCCAGGTAAATGTCCTCGGCGGGCCGCATGTGACCTGCGGGCCATAGGTTGAGGACCGCTGACCTAGAGAGTCAGCTTCCACTCTACTCCTCATTAGTCACTTGTCACTCTTTCCCCCCACCAGGTGGCCATCAGACGCAGGCCCAGTCTCTACGTCATCAACCTGCTGGTGCCCAGCAGCTTTCTGGTTGCCATCGATGCCCTCAGCTTCTACCTGCCGGCAGAGAGTGGAAACCGAGCCCCGTTCAAGATAACGCTTCTGCTGGGCTACAACGTCTTCCTGCTCATGATGAATGACTTACTGCCCGCCAGTGGCACCCCCCTCATCAGTATGCTCCCTCTAACCTTGAGGCAGTGACATGGGGCACAGCAAACTGAATGAGTTCAGGGAAGGGGACATATTGGACATACTGTGCCTGCCAGGGAGGGTTGGGCGGGGGTGGGGTGGGTCCTCAGTGGTGTCTGTGGCCCCCACACTGGCCTGCCTCCACCCCAGGTGTCTACTTTGCCCTGTGTCTGTCCCTGATGGTGCTCAGCCTGCTGGAGACGGTCTTCATCACCTACCTGCTGCACCTGGCCACCACCGAGCCCCCGCCCATGCCTGAGTGGTTCCACTCCCTGCTGCTGCTCTGCACCTGCCCGGGCAAGCGCTGCCCCACTGCACCCCACAAAGAACAGAAGGGCCTGGCTCTCACCCCCACCCACCTGCCTGGTAAGCAGGTGGAAGCCAGCACTGCCCTCACTGCCTCTTCTGATGTCTCCCCTCCTCTGCTCCTGCCTCGTTCCCCTCCGAGGGTGACCTTCCCAGCCATGGATGAGGCTCTCTCTGTCCTCTGCACAGGCCTGAAGGAGCCAGTGGAGTTGGTGGGGAAGATGCCCCGCTGTGGACAGGCAGAGCCAAAGGAGCACCCTGAATCAACAAGGGCTCAGCGGGAACACGAGGCCCAGGAGCAGCACTTGGTTGGCGTGTGGGTGCAGTTCAGCCACATGATGGACACCCTGCTCTTCCGCCTCTACCTGCTCTTCCTGGTCTCCTCCATCCTCACCGTCACCGTCCTCTGGACCACCTAAGCAGATGCTCACCTGCAAACTCTACCTGGAGCTTCTCCTGGCCTCCAGACACACCCCAGGTCCTTGGGCCAGTCTAATTTTTCACCCAGAGAGCTTTAGCAACAATTCCATCCTTCGGTCCGTCCCTCTGTGCATGTTCAGCGCAGACCCGGGTAGTTTCACACACCCTTAAAGTTAGGACCTGCTCCTGCAGCCCCTCCTTCCTCCTCACTTCTCCCATCAGTCCTCCTCCCTGCCGCCTCAGGGTTCAGGTTCCTGCAGCAGCTCTTCGATGGAATCACCTCAATAAACCACGTGGCAGAAAGCCCTGTCTCTTTCGTGCCTTCTATTATGGAGTTGACAGCCTTGGGATGCAGTACACTAGCCCCTGTGACCAAAGGCTTGTTCATAAGAAAACCTGAGCACAGGAAGGGATTGTATTAGAGCTTAAATTCTGAGCACAATGCTTGCAGAAGGCTAAGGTTAGCAGTGAAAAGTCCAAATCCATTTACAGAGTCCCCGCATGGATTAAGTCTCCATTAAATTTCTTTTGACTATGAACCAGGGATGTGAACAGTCTTGCCCTTAGACAGAGTGCACTGGGGAATGTCTGACTAACCCAGGGAGGAGCAGTTTCCCTTAGGTGCCTGCCTGGGTGTGCCCTTGGTGGAGAGTGCCGGACCGATGCCCAGGGTCATGAGTCATGCCCGGCTGCCTTCGCCAATCTGGTGAGTTCTCTTCCTAGGCCCATGCGCGTGGCCCAGTCACGGCCCCACTCTCACTTCTGCAGGTCCGCTGGTAACTGTGATTGATGGATCTGCTCCCATCGTGCTTTTGTGAGTTTCCTTTGCCCTCCGAGGTCCTTCATTAGCCTCTGAACCTCTCATCCCCTCGGATGCCATTCTGACCTTGTGTTAATGGCCTCCTTCATCCGAGTGATGTATCCTTGCCTTTGTCTCCTCTTTTGTCTGGTTTAAGACTTCATCAATGTTTTTTTACTTGTTATTTTTTAATAAGCCACATGGAGCCATGCCCTAAAATTATTTTTTTTAATCTTGAGACAGAGATTATCGTAGAAACTTCTTATCATAGAAACTTCTCATTACGCAAAGAAAGAAAGAAAGGTGTTCTGTTTTGTTTTGTGGTAGGTCTATAAGACAGTATGTGGAAGTGGAGGGTGGAGAGAAAAGGGACCAGAATTTATTACAAGGAAGGAATGATAATGAAATAGAGATTACCCAGGACTTGAGTTTCAGAAATGAATAACCCGACAGAACGAGGCCTCTTTCTCGGGAAGAGCGGAGCCTTTGGTTACAGTGAAGTCTGACATGCGACACATTCAACATTAAACCCTTGTAGCGTTCACATGATACTGTGTTACCGTTAACAGTGCCTGCATTGCAATTTCAGTTGGATCAACTCCACCCTTAATCATGCTATGAAAAGAACCTTAGGGAAGCACATTTGAAAACGGCCTCCACTTTCCTTAGAAGAAATTAAACTGCCTCCATCTGAACTGGACGAGGTCCCCTTCCTAGCATTTGCCTTGTGATTTTGAAAGGTTTCACCTACTGGCTAAACTCTTACGCTACCTGGGGGCCAACAGCAGTTCCACGCTATCTTCGTACATGGGACCTTTGACCTGATTTGTCCAATGCCCCAGGTTCAAAGCAGCACAGATTTGAGAGCCACTTAATCCCACTTCAAACATAACCTTTGCCTTTAGCAGCGATTTCTTTTCCTTTCTTCCATCTAGTCTGCTTTCTACCTGAAACCTACCCTTCCCGTTATAGCAGGTTAGGGACAGTCACAATCTTGTTCAGTAAACGATATTCTTCTGGTTCCTCCTCTTCTTCGCTCTTCCGTAAGCTCTTCTGGCCCCCTCCCTCTACCACTTGATGCTCAAGGCATGGCAACCTTGCTGGTGTCCATGAGAGGTACTGCTGCTGTCATGTGTGCCTTCAAGCTGACTCGGACTCGTAGCGACCCTGTAGGACAGAGTAGACTTGTTCCACTGGGTCCCTAAGGCCGAGGTGGCAGTTACATCATCTCCTGTCAACTTGTGCAAAGGGGTGGAGTCTAGCCTGTCAATCAGGTCATAGTCAATGAGGCCTCTGTGTGCGCATGGCCTTCTCCTGAGGATTCTGGGAACTCTTGCCTTCCTCCCTGGAGGCGGGACACACACTCTCGCTGCTTGACATGTTCCTGTTGACAAGCCACACGGAGCCATGCTAATGGAAGCCAGAGCCCTGGAGCTGGAGGAGCCACATGGAGACCTGCACCAGGGCTGAGACGCTTCCACTGCCACTGGATCCACCACTGGCCTGTGATCTTCCTGCATTTGGCATCATTGCATGTGCTGCATGATTCTAAAGAGGAATTTATGGACTAGTATTGGACATAGGGGCTAATATTGGACTTATGGACTTGATCTGGACTGGGCTGGGATGTTTTCTCAATATGCAATTGTTCTTCGATATAAAGCTCTCTCTTTTACACATATGCGTGTCTCTGGATTTGTTTCTCTAGTCCTCCCGGACTAGCACAGCTGTGATCTTTATAGGCACAGACCCCTAGCCCTTTTCCCCACAAAACACCCCCCTTTTCATTTAGCAGCCAAATGCTGTATCTTTGTGCCACCAGGACTCTTCATACGGACCTGCCCGAGGCCCCACCTACATGCTCACTGCCCCTGCAGCAGAAGCTCCCAGCTTCGTGTTGAGTTGCCAGGACCTTGCTCTGTGACTCAGGGTGGGGTCCACAGGAACCTGGTGTTTCGAGGCCAAACGGGCCCTGCATAGTTGAACCAGCCCCTTCACTCAGGCCTGTGGCCCCCCAACTAGAACTAAACTCGTGTCCCTCCCTCCCTCTTTCACAAGGCATTCTCAGGAGGCCTTGGGCTTCTCACTTTCCAGAACCCTGTCAGGCATGCTCCACCTTGCTACCGGCTGCGGAAGCCTGCCCACAGCATGCTATCTGCACCCGCACAATCTGGGTCAACTCCCATGCCTTGGCATTCACCTACGTGACTTAGGGACATTCACTTAAAATAAAATGTAAAAGGAAGTTTCGAAACTCACAGTTGGGTCTCCAGAAGGTGGATCCTCAGAAAAGACACACAATAGCAATCATAACCACCAAGAACGACTATGGAATCTCTACCAGGGCAGATATTTCTCTAAGTGCTTTGTATGAGTTGACACGTTTAATCCTGACAGCTATCCCATGAAGTAGGAGCTCCAGACTCATAGGCTCTTGCAGTCAAATGTGCTTGATTTTGTATTCGCTAACTTTGTACTCTAATGGAACCCTCCGATAGTTCACCCCTCCCCCACTCCTGGATTGCCCTTCTCCCTTCTGTGGGTCTGGGTTAGTCTGGGTAGACTAGCGAAACAAATCCATAGAAACTCATACATGTATAAGAAAGAGTTTTATATAAACGGTAATTGTACATTAAGAAAGCATCCCAACCCAGTCCAGTCCAAGCCCATAAGTCTGATATTAACCCATATGTCCGATACCACTCTATAAAGTCCTCTTCAGACTCAGGAAACACAGACAATGATGCCAAATGTAGGACAATCACTGGCCAGTGGGAGGGAAGTCTTGTGGATCCAGTAGCGTTGTAAGCATCTCATCCAGGGGTCTCTAGTTTCCAGAGCACGGGGTCTGTCAGCGTAGTGACATCTGTCTTGTCAGGAGAGTGTCTCTCAGGAAGTGAACCGTGAGAAAGAGTCTCTCTTGCATCTAATGAGAAAATCCAGGAAGTCCCAGAATTCTCAGGAGAAGGTCATGCCCATTGGCTTTGATCCGATTGATAGACTAGACTCCACCCCTTCTTCATTCTCAACCTTATCACATCCCCAGTTGTCACCAGATTATACAGCTACCACAGGGTCCCCATCTTCTACTTCCCTCAAGTCAATGCCCATCGACCACCCAGCCCATTTGTAGTGGAGTTCAACTTCTTAATACAGTTCTGCTCCCCATTTCTCTGTCTCTTCTGCCCAGTGATTGAGTGGAACCATGCAGAGAGGGAATTGGTCAGCTCCCTTTAGCACCCCACCCCCACTATAAACATGAGCCATCTTTGAAGCTGAAGCAGAGAAAGAAAAGCCCAGGCCCATTAGACGAGTCCATTCTAGATCTCTGTCTGAAGTGGTGGAGGCAGAGACCACAGGCACCAGAGACTGGCTCAGAGGCTGGGACAGAGCAAGAGGAGCAGCACTGAGCCGGTGACATGGAGGCAGACCCACAGGTAGGTTTCTTGGGCCATGGAGCAGAAACCAAGAGGCCATGTGGCGGAGAGGCTGGTGACCAGGGAGAGACTTGGCTGCTGGTGGAGGAGAAGCGTAGCTGGGGACCAGGGACTGCATCGGTGCTGTTTCCTCTCTTGGTTTGTGACAGCCCTCTAACGTCCCTGGTGGTTGAGTGGTTATGAGGTGTGCTGCTAAGTGTAAGGTCAGCAGTTCAAACCACCAGTGGCTCCTTGGGCGAAAGACAGGCAGAGTTACAGTCTCAGGAACTCAATGGGGGTTCTAGCCTTTCCTATAGGGGTGCTATGAATTGTCATAGACTCCATGTTGGCAGCAAGTTCAGTTTGGTTCAGTTCGGTTCAGTTATTCATGTCTCTAGTAAGCCCTCATCATGGTGAGTACTCGCCATAGGTCCTGTGTGGGCATTACAATGAAGTATCTAACCCCGCACAGAAGCAGAGGGCTATGGAGGTGTCACGGGTGGGTGTCAGATAGGCACAGAAAAGGAAACCAGAGGAGGGCAGATATGCAAACCCCACCCCCACCCCCGACGCCACCCCATTTACTGCACCATCGCTTTAAATCAAATAGGCTTTAGAATATAGACGTTTTTAGATTTTAAAAAGGATCCAATCGTGTCCATGTTACTCACCGTCCAGCTGGCGTCGCAGCAGCATCAAATCCTCAGTGTTAATATTTCTGCGGCGAAACCTATGCAGAGACGGAGTGTTGCTGCGGTGCAGAGGAGAGCTGCTCCAGGGGGTT